GTGAAGGCAATTCACCATGTGGCTGCACCTCTCCCAGAGCCCATTTAAGGGCTAACTGCCCCTGGAGAAGGATCTCTTTCAGGAGATAGCTCTCTTTGGAGTTTTTACTGCAAACCTAGGATACAGGTGAATATTTTGTTTATTTTTGATTATCTCTTTCCACCGTGATAATCTTTCTAGTTAGACAACCTGTGAAATACCAGCCTAACCATGCCACTCTGCTAATTGTATTTGTTGATTGTACACAACTCTCACTTTACACAGCTGGGATGCTCCTGAGGATGAGGACTGTCTCTCATTACAGCAAGTATGATCGAGACTTGATTCTTGGCTGAATTCTCTCATTGTATTGGTTAATTCATTAGCAAATGTTCTGCAGGAAGTTAGTCTGGAACTGATGTTTCCAGATATTCTGGATCTTGTGCGAACATACTCTCTTTCAGACAGGCATCCAATGTTCCTCTTAAATTTGGACTAAAAACTGTATACCGATCATGAATTATTTACCAGCACTCTTCTGGCTGCTCATGGGCTATGGAGAGTATTTGGGAATGCAAATGAGGCAAACTCATCGTTTCACCTGATCTTAAAAATCTGTTGAATGAAACTTATAGTAATACTGTAACTTTCAATCATTCCTAATAAACTTAAGCAGTGCAGAAGCTATTTCTAAGTGCCTTCAGAATGTCTGCTGTGTGGCAATTACTTAAGAAGAATACAGTAAATAATGTGGAATGGCCTTCTGATCTCAATGTTCACTTACCATTGCTGAAAATATACGCGGTGATATAGTGGTTCTAAGTGACACTGGGCATCTTGTTACAAAGCTTGGTGCTTCATAAATACACGGAATCATCATGCTGCATCATCACTTTCCTCTTCTCGGCTATATACTCTGTTTGTTTGCATTTGGTGGAAAATAATATCCCTTCACCATAAAGAGCACAACATCTAAGCTGCAACTCATATTACTGCATTTAATTTACTAATGCTGTCATGCAGCTCCTGCAAGTCATAATTTACTGTGGGTATCGTCACAGAACAACCTTGCTGGCCCAGTAATTGTTACTGGGTCCAGAAAAATGAGTTGCTGACCTTTTGCAAGTGCTATTTCTGTTGACTGCTGAAAACATTCAGAACAAAGTTACGTGTTTCTTAGGGGCGCAAGCCAGACTCTTATCTGATTGCTAGTTCTCCAAATCTTAGCATGTCTGTAATGACAGCACGAGGTATGTCAAAGAAGTGCTCAGTTTATCAAGTATATACTCTAAGGAAAGGTGAGCTTCAGACCTTGCCAAGCAGTACTGAGAACATCCATTCTTTCTCTTTCAGCAATTGGTTACGGTGAATCATGTTAATGTAGCTTACAGTGTGCTTTTAACAGAAGAGCAAGTTTGCATCTGCCTGTATGTTTCTATGTAGACATACTGCTGACCAACACACAGCCTGCTTCGCTGAGAGGTACTGTTGGTGGGGATAGCCTAGTGCTGGTCTGCACTATAAGGACTTGATTAGGAATACAATAGTGAGAAGTAAAAAAGGCATTACTTATTCCACTGGTTCCAGGATAACAGTTGTTGAACACGTGTGATTCTGTTCTGCATCTCAACTCTTCTGGGTATTACTTGTCCATGCTAGTTCAGAGCTAAGATCTCAAGCTTCTTCATCAGTACAGGATAAAGGTAAAGGAACTGCCAGTTTCACAGTCCTGCAGATCATACAAGAAAACCCCATCTTTCTAAATACAGTGGGGAAAAAAGAGTCCTGCGAAACATTAGATAGGAAATCTCAAAACCAGAAGCATATGGAAGTTCCCTGTATTTTTCAGAATGAAGGATGATGAAGCCATATTAGCTAAACTGCATTGGAGAAATTTTAAATATTTCTTTGCTAAGGATTGTATCATGAGGAGGGCACTCTCCTAGCTGTCTTCTTTCAGAGCAGTAGGGGGGGCAAGCTGAAGCAGCACAAAGGCAACAATTCTGATGCTGGAAGACTAGAGGAGGGCTATGAAAAGCTGAAATTCCCACCCAGCAACTTAGTTTCTGGTACTGTAGACAGATCAGTCCAGCAAATACATAGCTTACTGTGCTGTCTCTAAAATGAGGATAAAGATCTTGCTATTCTTAAAGGACTTGCTAATCAAATTGTGGGAAGGTATATATGTTATCTTTAAGTAATCAGGGGTTAAACTGATTCTATATAAAACAAACTGAAGCAAGGTTTTGGGATGACAGTGCTGCTCTCCAGATGTCAGTGTTCCCTATCCCAGTGTTCATTCCTTAGCTGGGTCTAGTCTGTCCGTTGTTCATAGACTAGTGGCTTTCAGTTCCTCATACTGGCACTTAGGAAGTGCCTTAAAAAATGCTTAGTATCAGCTGTGATTAAAGGTTTCTGATGAAGCAAAAGTGAGAAGAGAATGGTTTTATCCGCCTCTTTCTGTGAATATCTTGTAAGCATAGAAAAATAACACAATTAGTCTAGATAAGTAACACAATTCTTTGTTACTCAGCTATTTTCAACCTTGAGCAAGGCTCATGACTTTTGCTGAAGGTCACAAATTTAAATTAAGTTGTTGACCTATGGGTTAAACTGGCATACTAATGCAAAAGCATAACTGCTTCCTCTGGTGAAATGTAAAAATATTTGGCAAAAGCCTGGTAACTGTTGTTCACATAGCTGTGCGAGGAAGAGGGAAGTGGTTTCTAGAAGCTTCCATTTCTCAAAGTCAAGTTCTGTGCAGCTGATACACAATTTTCAAAATCAAGTCCAAAGTCTGCATTCAGATTTTAGCAGTATAGCTAAAAATCTCAAATTACTGCAGGAACTAGTTAAATAACTACAGATTTATTTTCTGTAGTTTAAAGCTGAAACTGGAGTGTTTACTGTCAATTTAAATTATTGGCACAGCACATACATATTTACTTCTATTAAAAGCCTCAGGTCCTTTCTGCCATTATGTTTAATGTGAATATGCAAGGCCTGGGTTCTTTCTCACTCTTCTTCACTGAGGTCTTTTCCAGTCCTTCAGGAGTCATATGGCTAAAGTTAGTGACAGCACTTAGGTCACATGTGACCTAACGTAAGTGACAGCACTTAGTAAATGTTCGACTCTATTGCCAATTGCTCTTAGTCACAGGTTTAATGAAAGTTAAATACGTCACCTATGTCACATAGACCAAAAATGCACAGCAGGCAAGGGTTAAATAGGCTGTTAGCATGTTTTAACACTTAGGATTTCCCTGCAAAACAACAGGACAGGTTGTAGGAAGCTGGGAGGGATATGGAGCTGGAAAAGCAAATAATTCTGAGGGTGTGGGGGGAAGGGGGGGGGGGGGAAACTCCAGTCAGAAGAATATGCAAATGTACATACTGATGGGCCCTGATCAAATGGTGGGAATCTTACGTTGTGCACAGGCATATGTTGAACAGTTTGCTAAGAATACGTGAGGAGCTCATCAGCCAGCATTATCACTCAGGAAAACTGCTATAAGTCTCTTGCCTGAGAAATGGCTTAAGAGCCCTGGATAATTTCACAGTCAAAGTTGGAGTAGTTTATGAAGTGCTTGGGGAATGCAAGGCAAGATAATGGGGTACCCAGCAGCCAATTACACCCAAAGCATGAGGAAGAGCAGCGTGTCGCTGGTCTCTTAACATTCCTGAAATTCTTCAGAGGTTTGGCAGAGGTATTTCTTAGAGCAAAGAGGAGTAGACAACAATTAGCTGATTAGAGGAACAAAAATGCCAGCCATTTGGGAGTTTTGCATGTCTTTTGGCAACTTCATGGCCATGGGAGTGTGCAAGTGTGTTCCATCCTTAAAGGATGTCAAGATGCTGACTGCAGACCTGTTGCTTCCTGTAGTATTGGGTGGCCCTGCTCCTTTCACATGTGGAATCCAAAGGTCAATGACTGTGGTAGCAATTTTTCATCCTTCCTCCCAGGGATTTGCTTGTGAGATCCTCAGCCTGGGTAACTCTCACGGCATAATGGGGACCCACAAGGCTTTTGGTTATTTCTCTTTTTTGCTCACTTGCACCCAGTCTTGGATTTTTCAGTGATGTCTCTCACCTCTGTGCCCCAGACTGGGTAGGCTGAGTGCTGTGGAAAATAATAGCTAATAATAAGCCACATTTTAAGATGCAGTGCATGATGAAGCAGGTGCTAAGTAGGAGATGTGATTAAGGAACTGGTTTTGGTGAAGTGACAGTAGATTTTTTCCACCTCTTCTGTAACAGAGCACTCTGGGACAGGTGCATTCAAAAAATGTCCCATTGCTGAGGCCTTTCCCTTGCCTGGCAGCCCTCTATAAGCTGGTGCTGGGCCAGAATATCATGTTGCCTACTGCCATGAAAAGCTAGAACTTTGATCTGGAAAGAATTGGAACTGCCCATGGCATGCTGTCAGACACATGATCGGATAGCAATTTGCTGAGAAGAAGATGACTGGGCCTCAATGTTATCTGAGATCACTATTGAGAAAACAAAGTTTGCAACCATGGCAGCAACTGCTGCCTCTTAAACGTTATCCTTGACAGGGCTTGGCACCCCAGTGTGTTGTAGAGACTGTTAGCTCTGCTAGTCCTTCTTGTAATGAGTGAACATGGCAAAAAAAGTGCTGAAAGACCTTGCAGGAACTGGGCATGGCTGTTCCTTTTGATGTCTGTAAGTTACACCTGCACATTTATCTGCAGACATATGCTTAGTGCGCACACAGTTATTTCTCTACCACCATTATTGTGGTGTTGTGATAATCTCCAGTGCCAAGAACAGAAAAGTTGCCTGTCAGTTATGCTAAGCACCTGAAGACTCCTGGCTGTTAGCCTGCACAAGGTGATTGTTATCTTCTACTATTTTCAAATAAGCTTCTCAGAGCAAAACTAATGATTCAGATAAGCTGCTAAGATCACAAATGTTTCTAATATTAATAATGTTTATAGTCCTTTATTTAGTTGCTGAAATATTGTAATTTTCACAGCTATCCAGCTATGAAACCTCATTGGAAAACAATTTTCAACTCACCTGATTCTAGGATCTGTTTCTGTTATTTAGGTTAACCAAAGTCTTTCTACATCTAAGGCACCTCTATAAATCCTTAGTACATAAATACTAGTGGATTACTTTGTTCTTAGGCTAGCTATGTTAGTAGGATGTATTTTTTTTCAAGGTTTGAAATGTGAACAACTTTAAATTGCTTCTAGAAAGCATTTGTGTTGCTTGTGAGAATTCTCCAGCTCATTCTTCAACTCAGTCATTCACATGCATGGAAAGAATGGTGAGTTCCTTTCTCTCTCCGTATCTTGTGGGAGAGCAAGGATGGTAACACTTGACAAAGAACAGAAAGGTCATCTGAAGTTACCAGATTAGGGGCAATAAGAAACCAGATGAGGTTTAACAAAAGCAAGTGTAGAATCTTGCACTTGGCAAGTATCAGAACTTATTCACAGTGATGGTGATGAAACAGTTCTGAAAGTAGGAGAGGAGTAAAAAGTATGGTGACAAAAAAAAATCAGTGAAGTAGTTCCTCCGCTTCAAACTTTCTCTGATTAAGGAGCATGAGGATGTCACATTTCTGTTCTGTGCTCTAATGAATAAAGAAACATGGTCAGCAGGTTGTGGTAGGTGATTCTCCACTCATAGGGAAAGGTGCACGTATGTGCATTTGTCCAGAAGTTGTCTCAGAGCCGGTTATCTCTCTTTGTCTTCGTGCCCCTTCAGGAAGGAATACGTTCCGTTTACTTCGGCATCGTCGTGCAAGCAACCCAGGAAAGACGAGATGATGACCTCTTTGCTTGCTCTCCTCATTCCTGCCCGACTGCCATCTCCTGTTCACTCCCTTCACGCACAAGCTCTGCATCCTCGACCTCTTCCAGGTCCCGTTCCGTAACACCGCCTGCAGCCCGCCACGCCCGGCCTTTCCTTCAAGGGCCCCGACAGCTGTGAACCCCCATTGCCCCCGCCCCTTCTCCCTCCCTTTTTCGCTTGTTCCCTCGTGAAATTACATCTCCTCTGAAGGAAAACACACTGAGTCGGGTGGCCCTGGGCAGTCACTCAGCTCCTGGTTTGGTTGTCCCGGTGCCCCGCTACAGCACGGCACTGCTGCGGTGACGCCGCCGGGCGCCCCGCAAGCTCTGCAGAGCTTTGTGTCTGCACTATGGGAGCGAACCGGGCTCCGGCGGCCGTGGGGGCAGGCCGATGCGGGGGTTGGGCTTAAGGGCGGCTAGGGGGAGGCTTTGTGTGCGCTTCGAGTGGACGAGCAGGCGGTGGCAGCAGGGAGAGAAGGTCTGTTCGGATTACTGCAGCCGTTGGCTCCCGAGTTTCCCCCCGCGTCTATTCGGCCGCACCGCAGAATCTGCGGGCCGTGAACACCATGGCCAGCGAGATCGACAACCTGAACAGCCACGAAGCAAAGACGGTATGCGAGGCGTTGGGGCGCTATGAAGACACGCTGCGGGGCGCTGTCCGGGAGATCCACGTGGACATTCAGGTGTTCAAGCAAGGCGTGAACCGGCAGGTGGATGAGGTGCTGCGCCTCGCTAGCCCCCTGGCTCGCACCGTCTCGGAGCTGCAGCAGGAGAACCAGCGCCTACGGGTGCAGCTGGAGCGTCTTTCTCGGCAGGTGGAGGCCCTTAGCCGGTCGGCGGGGCTGCCGCAAGAGTGGCAGGACGAGGCAGAGAGGAGCCCTCCAGCTGTAGGACCCAGCTCTCCAGTGCCGGCTTTTTCTGCAGACAAGTTCTCCACCCTTGCGAAGCTAGCAGTGTCTGGTCGGAGCCAAGTAAGTGCTGGCTGTGGCTGGGGGGGCAATGAAGGGAGGGTCGTGAGGATGCAGGAGCACTTGATATGAGTGGATGCTTCTACGCTGAGCTGTAGGTAACACGGGGGAATGTTTACGTGGAGCATCTCTTGTGCATTGAATATTTATGAGCTTTTGGAAGGTGCCTGGAGAAATGGCCTTGACTGTTATGCCATCTGGAAATGTTTCTGATTATGTTGCTACTTAGCTAAACTGAGATCTTGCTTAGAGTGGTAGTGATCTCTCAGTTGAGTGTGGTTAGAAGTAAAAAGAGAAGTTATGGAAGTCTCAGCTATCAGTATCTATGTGTAGGTGAATATCTGTATATCCTTTCCAGATTCAGGGGGGACCTGTGTGTGCCAGCAATGCTGTTTGTCAGTTGCCAAGCTCACAAAAGAGAAAAACTCAGCATATATGTAGCAGGCAATAATGTGCTTACCTAACATAGTGACTTAGTGTGCTGAAGTGTGACAGTTTTGAGGCACAAGTGCTGTGCTGTACTACTATGGCTCAATTTTAGAGAGGTATGCCCCATGCAAGCTGTCATGGTCTCCATGTCCTAAACTACCACAGAGATGTTCTTCGCAGTGGTAGAACTGCTTCTGTGAGATGAAGCCTTATAATGTTGTGCGTGGAAAGCTCAGTTAGTGGGAAGTTCATATGGCACTCAGCTTTTACTTTTCTAGTGCATCTGATCCTGTGGAAGGAGCTGAGAGTTCCTGTACAATCCTTGATGCCAAGAGATTGCCTCCAGACAGTACATGGTGATTTTTATATAACTATGTTGTATTAGAGAGCTAGCTTTCAAAACTGGCAGCCTATTTCATTTAATATTAATCTATCTCTTGCAAGATTCTTAAAGGCTTGGAGCATGGAAAGTTGTGGGATTGGCTATCCAGGCCCTGGGGATGAAAAGTAAAAGCTTGGCAAGTAAGCTAGTTTGAGGTTATTTGGGTGCGATTGAGCAGAGTCAATATAACATTCCAGCCCTTTTACTTCCCACCAACCCAAAAGCATTTGGCAACAGCTGGCCAAATGAAAAGGCAAAGCAGCCATGTGCAGTACTATTCCAATGCTACTGTAGCAATTGCTGTCTTTTCTCTCAAAAGATTAATATGAACAGCTTACACAACTTCTGGATTGTTTGTTTGTTTTTGTGGTTTTTTTTTTCCTCCATGGAGCCAGCCACACTTAATTGCAAGAAACTGAAGTAAGCTCAGTGCCAGGGAAGGGATAAGAGGAAGTGGTACCTCATACAACTCATCTTCACCGTTGCCACTGCTTATTTGCAGTGGGTACTCCATGCTCTGTGATGAGCTTTGCATTGAGGCTATGGCATTATCCAGTTTTAGATATCAGTCTAGGCTGAAACACAGAATGTGCTTTTGTTTTGTCTGGAGCCTTCTTACTTAGCTTTGAGGGTTCAGGGAAGATCGCTAAAGTACTGGTAGCTCCCCAGTGTCCTCCCAGCAATTTTCCCCACAAGGATGGATGGCTTCCAGGGTTAGCATAGCTGACTGAAAAGGAATCTCAGTACTGAGAACCATGGGAGATGCAGCTAAAGCTACACACACCAAATGCATGCAGAGATTACAGCCTCAATCAGAAAAACTATGTAATGTGGCTGTGCTCAAATGACTAAGGAGCAAGCCTTGATCACTGTGTTGGTCACTAAGTTTGTCTGTGGTAATGAAAATATTCCCCGAATCGTCTGAAATTTCTATTTGTGCAACAGAAGCACTTGAAGCAGAGTACCATAAATACCACCTTGTTTGTTTTCAGATAAATCAGTACTTGTGATTAAAAACTGATAAGACTTCCTTCCACCGCAAATGCTTTTATAAGTCTGAGATAGGAGAAGCAAAAATACATTCCTGGAAATAGCAGCAAATAAGATATACTCTTTTGCTCCTGAAAAAGATTTATTAGTTGGGTTTCTTTCTAGTGTAGTTGATGTAGTTCTTATCCCAATAAGGAGTTGAGTTCTGTTCCCTTCAACGCTTCTATCAAAATACTCTGGATAAGAATTTCTTTCTCAGGGTGAAGATCAGGTGTTGGAGATTCTGAGCATCTTTATTGTGTGGACTGTTGTTTTCTAGCATTGCTAGATTACTTTTCAAGGTGATTTCATTGAGAAGAAAATGTTGCTAAGGAGTTCTGAGCATAATTCAAAAGTAAGGACACAAATATTCTTTTAAATATAATCCTTGGCTAGTCTCTGCCACACTGTCCTTGAAATCTGATGTACGACAGTCTACGTGCTCATTTAGATGGACCCAGTTGCCTTTCTGTCTGTCAAGTGGGCTAGACTAACAAGATAACAATTTATTAGCCCCCATTTCCTGCATGCGACACAGCAGTGATAGTGTTACAATGGATTTGTTTTATCTGCCTGAGATTTTTATTGTACCCAAGAACAGGGCTCTCCAGGTACTGGAGAAGGCTATTTTGGGGGTGTAGGGTGGGGAAGGGAGCGTATTCTTTGTACGTTTGCTCCTTGTCTTGTCTTTTCTTTTTCGCCCTCCCCTTTCTGAGGTATGTTGGTTTTTCGTTTGTTTTTCCCTCTCTGCAGATGCTTCAGTGTCTGACTGACTTCTGCAGAGCAGGATGGTTCAGAAAGTAATTGTAATTTGTTAGTTTTAGTATCAGGTGGTCATTTGTATCCAGGGTTGTTACACTGGCAGTCTTATTTGCCCTGTTCTTCCAAGAGATTGCACATGGAAAATTGCTCACCTTTCCTTTTCCATCTTGGGATATGGATGGATTAGAAATTTTAATAATGAAAGGAGAATTACTTTTTGTATTTGCAGTGCTTTAGTAAACCCACTTGTTCAGTTGCTACAGCTGGATCCGTAAATTTCTGTTTATTTCTTGACTTAAACTTCAGCTAAGTAGATCTTCCTGAAAAGTCTGAATTATTGAAACTAAATAGAGATAAGATCTCCTATCTCTTTAAAAATAAACAATAACAAAGTGTGTTTAAAAGTAGCTCTGTGGAACGTTCCAAGGTCTTTAGATTATAGCTGCTGAGCTGAGAGGGAACATCCAAATCCACAATGTCCAAAAGCATGGACAGTAGCTGGTATACGAAACTAACGTCAGAACTATTGGGATTGGTTTAAAATTATGATATGTAAAAATTGAGATTAGCTTTTGCCTTCTGAGTTAATTTTTCTTAAAGCGTTTATGCAGCACTTCTGGCACATAAATTTTTCTTTTCCTTTTTTTTTTTTCTTTTTTTTTTTTCTTTTTCTTTCTGTAATCATTGGAGACAGGAGGTTTGTGTAAGGCTACTGGATAGCGTAAGTTCAGGAGCTGGAACTACATGTATTGAACAGGATTTTGAGTTAGTCATTCTGCAAACTGGATATGATTTCTAATTATAACATGGTTATATTTTTAAGAGAGATACATTTATGTATCAAATAATACTTGCATAGTAGGGGCAATCTTGCACGAGACCAGAACGCTATTTTAATATGTTCTGTGTGGTTTGGATGGTGTCGAGCAAATTGTAGTATAAAAAACAGCATAAAATCAGCATTACTTTGGAAGTAGTACAAACTTGTTCCAGTGATTTTTGTCATGTCAAAGAAAGGGACCTTGCTTTCTTTTTCCCTATTTGAAGATGTTTATTTCCAAAAAATTCTCTGCTTTTATGGTTTTATGTTTTTATTTTGGCAAAAGATTTGAGAATAGCTTTTTAGCTATTCAATACAACAGTTGTTTTTGACTCAGTGATCTTTGTAGGTCCCTTCCTACTGAATTGTTCTGCTCTGTTCTGTCCTTTTTGTGTCTGCAAGGAAATACAGTATAAACTTGACTGTGAATTCTTGTGTTTCCATTGTTTGTAGAAGCACAATATTCTGAGCTCTGTTCTAATTGCAAAATAATTTGAAGCACAATGAAGGTCATGTTTCATTTATTTCAGTTACATCTTCTGACAGGTCATTAGTTCTGTACTTTGTTTCTGACAATTTTTGGTCAAAGCTTTCGCTGCTAGTTACCTATAATGTCATTCTCAGCAGCTAGCTTTGCATATCTTCTGTGAAAAACAGGGAGAACAGCATAGAGGTCGAAGTACCTTTAGCAGCTAAAATAGATAGAATTTGCCCATTACAGTCAGTGTTTGTGGTGTTGGGAAGAGTGTATCTGTTGAATACAAAGGCTGTGGAATTCTAAGGGTAGAGAACTTTTAGTGAATTAGGGTCGTCCCTCTATTCCTTCCTTCCCGATGCTTAGTTTTTCATTTTTAGAATGTGAAAATTGTGGCAGAGCTCTGAAAAGTTCTGATCAAATCTGAAGTTTGGAGGATGTACCTATGAAATTCAGTTTCCATCAGTTCCAGAGAATCTTGACTGATAAAGGCAGTATGAGAATTATCACTTGCTTGGGTCCTGTTCCTTTGAAGATACTAAGTTGTTGAGTTACAGTGTCATGTAAACATCTGTGATTAAAAGGTCTACAAACATGTCAGCCCAAATTCTTATCAGGCTGGATCTAGATCAGTCTGGATTTTAGATGGATAAAAAGAGATGGTACATTTCCACTTTTTTTTCCAATCTAGTGTTCCTACCCTGAGCCTAAGCTTCCTCGGTCCAGGAATTTACTCTTACCCTGAATCAGGCTAATAAACTGCACTTGGCATGATGAGTCAGTAAGAATTAGTCAGTTCTTCCTTGAATAGAAAAGTCTGCTCACCTAGTCTTGCCTATTTTTCCTGGTGCAACCTCTGGAGAAGCTGTATATGTGGACTATAGGATTTATTTCTGTCATCTCCAAAGTCTGGAAAAGTTTGAGATTAAAGGTGGTAACTTGGACTCATTCCTTAACTATGATGAGGCTGTCACGTAAACAGTCTGCTGATTTCCAGGGATTGAAGTGCCTGATAGGAGACTTTAGTTGGCAACTTCCCTCAAAGCTGAGGAAAACATCATTTAATTCCAAAAGTTGAGAGCATTGAAACTAGGAAAACTATGTGT